TGGAACCTCCGGTCTGGTCTAAGTGAGGACCCTCCGGTCTCATATTTCATTGGACCCTCCGGTCCGGTCATAAAATAGCACAGTTCTTTGGACCCTCCGGTCCGGTCTAAATATCACATAATATAGCACATAACACATATCACACAGAAAATGCATATCTCAGGCAAGCACATAAGACCCTCTGGTCACGCATAATTACCACTCTAGATAAAGTATAGGGAGAAGACTCGCCTCGGATGATGAATAGTCCTTATAAACGTTGCTGCTACGCACCGGCCTCTAACTCTGTGCCAAACCCACAATTATCCTAATTAGGAACTAATTCTCAACTCTCGCTCATTAGGTCTAAAGGAAGTCCACTAACCAGCCCATCAATGACCTAAAACCCATTGGGACCACCAAGGCCCAATAATAAATGGGCTCTCCTGAGGCCCAACTCTCTCTCATCTAATGGCAAGCCCAACTCAAGGTCCCAAAGCACATATATATATAATCCTCTGGTCCAAGACTCTGTTGCAACAAGTCCAAACTCCAGGCCCAATACTCAAGGTCCAAAATGAGACTAAGCCCAAAAGTCCACAATGAGGTTACGCAGGGCGTACCACTCTTGGTACGCTCAGCGTACTTACGAATCCATATTGGCCAATAGGGACACTGGGGCAGTACGCGAGGCGTACAAGAATTACACTCATTGTACTCCCCAGATTCACTCTTTCTACTCATTTGGTCTTAAACAGTTAAGACATTACCTCAAACCCCAGATCTGGACTCCCTAATGGCACCTACTCCATAAAGTCAATGACTTTAAGCCTTTGCATGGCTGGAAAGATCACAAACACCCAAAACACTCACTTCCTTATCTAAGAAACCTCCTATCTCATGCATGGCTTTATTCCAACATCCATGATTGGATTTTTATGACATAACACCAATATATATACTCAAAGGGACATATATTATGCTCTGGAGTTCAAAAACTCATAAAGCTTCAAGCTTTGGGACCAAAAACCCTAAAATGGACCCAAAACAAAAACTAGCACAACAATAAGCAAGTTCAAAACTTGATACCTCTGGAAGATGCATCAACAACGGAAGAACATAGATCCAAAAGCTAGGTGCTCAAGCTATCCTCTTTCAAAGCTCCTTCTTCTTCAAAAGCCAAGTGATCACCCATTAGATCCACATGAGAAAGCCACCAAGATTCAAATATTATGCTTTCTGGAGCTAGATCAACATGAATAGGGCTTGGATCCACAAGCTCCAAACAAGCAATGCTTCCTCAAGGAACTCCTTCTTCCATAATATGCACCAAAAACTCATCAAATCACCAAAAAGCTCAAGAATCACTCAAATAGAGGCTTAGGGTCGATTTCTAGCGTTTAGAGGGATGGAGGCTGAAGATATTAGGGTTAGGTTATGAGATAAGGAGCTTAAATATGGTCCAAGACCCTAAAATAGCGTTCAGGTCTAATTAGCATACGCCCAACGTTCATATGGTATGCCCAACGTACTCTGAAGAACATTCGCGACCACCCCTGGTCAGTATGCCCAGCGTACTCCAAAATTACGCCCAGTGTACGCTTTGTGTACGCCCAGCGTACTCGGCTAAGCCTGCAAACCTCAAAACTTCTGAAGGCCATAACTTCTTCGTTATCAATCCATTTCCGACGATCCTTATATCCACGAAAAGGTAACGAGAAGCCCTACACTTCTATCAACTTTATTCCTCTTGAAACCCACTCGAACTCAGATCCAAAATTCATGAAAAGCCCGCACCAGCTCCTTTAACAATACATTTGGGCTCTAAAGCACAAACCGAACTCTTTTATCACGCAAACCTTTCTCCTTCAAAGCCTCAAAACCTTCTCATACTCAGATTAAGGCCCACAGGCCTTAAATCACAAAACAATATGGAACAGGATGTTACAATATCATTGGTTACCGATTTCTAATATGATTAGGTTCATGTTCAATATTACTAATTCTTTAGCAAACAAGTTAATTCAAGCAATGATCAAGTGATTAAACTAACAAATTTTCTAGCGTTCAGTTCGAATCAAGTAATACTTGTAATACTAGTTAATTAAAGTGGTTGATTCAATTAACTCATATATGGTTAGTGATCACACATGCTCACACATTAATTTATTTATTTTCTAGTTAACCCTAGGTTATGTTCACAACACTAGGCATACAATCTTGTTCTCACAAAACCATAAGATTTAAGTAATCAAGCAGATGTTCATACAACTCAGTAAACTTAGTCATTAACAAAAAATAATTATCATTAACACATGAAGATCTTTTAACAAGCTTAACAAAATAAATAACCAAATCAATATAATCCAAAGGCACTTATCAAACCATATTCATAAGATCATCTAGTCTAAACAGAAGTATGGAGTTTTAGCCCATAACTTTAGCAAATAAAAACATAAAAACGAAATTAAATGTTTCAAACATGATTCACACAAAGAATTAAGAGAAAAGTAATTGTTAAATGCCTTTGATCTCTTCAAGAGTAGCCTCTAGTCGAATTCTGAGTTCCAAAGCTTCTTGAGAATGTATTTGATCCTCCAAAAGCCACTAAAAGTCTTTAGCCAACATTAGGGTTTCGAGTGAAAACGATCTATATATAGATTCTGAAAAACAACTCAACTCGTCGAGTTTTATGACCCAACTCGCCGAGTTTTTTTTACTTAAATAATGTTTACGGCAAGGCACTATTTTGTCGGGAATCTTTATAGCAACTCGTCGAGTTGGTGAACAAACTCGCCGAGTTCTTCAATTTTGCCTTCTTCCTTCAAAATCCAATTTCCAAGCTTCCAATTGTTAGGTCTGCTTCTTTTTCCTTCTGAGCATGTCTTTGTTGCTAAAAATAAAAATTTAAACCAATCATGCACCTTTTGTTCATTATTTTAGACAAAAACAACATAAAATATTAAGATAATGTATGAATTTTATAACTAAATATGTCAATATCAGAAAAATCTAACACGTATTCATATCATTTGCACTTGATACGTTTGATTTTCTCGCACTGGATGCGGTGAAGCTTTTTAATAGACTACAACAAATCATACATAGCAATGTTATATCCTCTAGATCTATAGATGTAATATTCAAAAGAATTAACTTTACCATACAAAAATGCTTAACAACACAGCTTGTTGTTTGTTTATCATCTCACTTCTTGTATTCACTTGTTGTATGATGATAACTATGATATTTTACATATAATTCTTAAAAATAAAAAGATAAGAGAACTAAACTGGTGATTGCATTTCATTAGGAAATATTACACGGCACGGAGTAGTGCCCAACAAAGAAAGCTATCATCGATGTTAATTAGACATGAAAGCATTTTAAGTTGACTTTGAAAATGGCACCAACACAAGTCTTCTAACCACAAGTCTTCTAACCCGTCTTTGGGTGTAGAAAATCGTTTAGCAACTATGATGTTTCCTAGAAAGTAGAAACTAGAAATGTCTTTCTCATATTTGGTGAAATCAGACTTAGTGTCACTGATTGAGTCATAACTTGAATAATTTGTTTACGATTGATGCTCTTAGAACTAAGCAAACCAAGAATTAACCAAACTCGTATTACTCTTAAAATCTTTATATTTCTTGATTTTACGGTATATATGCTTGATCAATCAAAGCTTTTTAAAAACCTAATGAATTAGAATTAAGATGAATAGAACAAGTTTATTTCATGGATTCGGCGATTAAAACCCGTGTTGGAATCTTTGTAAATCTTTATTTTTTGTAGTTAATTAAAAATAAATGGTAAGATCTTGTTTCTTTAATGAACTATTTTATATTAATTCCTATAAATAGATGAAGTTGTAGCTCTCTCTCTCTCTCTCTCTCTCTCTCTCTCACAAACACACACACACACAGTTATGGGCTTCTCATACTTGCTGAAACTAGCGGTCTTACTTGTTGCGCTTCTCATACAAACGAATGAAGTTGTCTCTGAAGATCATCTGGCATTACTGGCAATCAAATCCAAGATAACAGACGACAGTCAAGGTTTTTTGATATCTTGGAATGATTCTCTTCCTTTTTGTGAATGGCGAGGAGTGACATGTGGTCGTCGCCACCAAAGAGTCACAAGCTTGAATATATCCAACTGGGGTTTAGTAGGTACTTTATCTCCTTATGTTGGAAACCTCAGCTTCCTAAGGTATATTAAACAACCAACTTCATGGAGGCATCCCTCCTGAAATAGGCCGCTTACATAGATTACGAGTACTATCCCTCGCCAATAATTCATTCACCGAAGAAATCCCGGCTAACATATCAAGTTGCTCAAAACTGTGGTACTTGGACTTATCTTTCAACATGCTGTCTGGCAAAATTCCAAACGTTTTTAGTTCTCTGGGGATGATCAAAGCGTTAGGATTTGGCAAGAATAACTTAACAGGTGGGATTCCAGCATCCATTGGCAATCTCACATCTCTCGAGCAACTCTCTCTTTCGTATTGTCCATTAGGAGGGAGCATTCCAGATTCCTTCAACCAGTTGAAAAACTTGCGAAAATTAGGCCTTGGAGAAATGGGCCTCGTTGGAGTCTTTCCATCATTCTTATTTAACCTTTCCAAGTTACAACTTTTAAATTTTCCAGAAAACCAACTTGTTGGCAGTCTACCCTCCAACTTATGTGCGAGTCAACCCCATCTCCAGAGACTATAATTCTCATACAATCATTTCAATGGATACCTTCCATCCTCAATATCAAACTGTTCGGAGCTGCGAAGCTTTGATGTTTTGAGTAACGATTTCAAGGGGGAAGTAGCTGCTGATTTTGGAAAACTCCGATATCTTAGGTGGTTAACTCTTGGTGGAAGTGGAGCTAATGTTGGTCTTGGTGGCATGAAACATTTTGATTCTTTGTCTAATTGCAGTGATTTGGAAGTATTGCAAATTGTGGAAGTGCAGATAAGAAGGGTGCTACCGGATTCACTTGGGAACTTGACGAAACTAAGGTACCTAATGATCGAATCAAGCTATATCTCAGGAACCCTTCCTTCATCTATAGGCAATTTGTTTAGCCTAATTCTACTCTCTCTACCCGAAAATAACTTCACAGGCATGATTCCTAAAAGCATTGGCAATCTTTGCAAGGTGGGAGAACTAGATCTAGATGCTAACAGTTTCTCTGGGATCATTCCTCCATCTATAGGAAACATGTCATCTGTAACCAAAATTACGTTAAGTAGAAACAAATTGGAGGGTTCTATACCCTCGACTATTGGGGCATGCAAAAGGTTGCTGCTTCTATCACTTGACGGAAATAACCTCAGAGGGAGTATACCCAAGGAGCTATTCCAATTGTCTTCACTTTCAGTTGGCCTTGATCTTAGCCAAAACAATCTGTCTGGAGTGCTTCCACAAGAGATTGAGCACCTGAAGAACACTTAGGAATACTTGATCTGTCTGAAAATCATTTATCGGGTGAACTTCCTGGTAGTTTAAGCAGCTGCATCAGCCTTCAAGTCCTAGATCTTTCCAGCAATTTCTTTCACGGATCGATGCCGGAAAGGTTGAGCTCTCTGAAGGGCCTCGAATATGTTAACCTATCACGAAATAACTTTTCGGGACATGTTCCAGCATATTTGCAACAGATTGCTTTCAAGTATCTAGATGTTTCATATAATGATTTCGAGGGGGAGGTATATGTTAAGGGTGTCTTTGCCAACGCAAGTGCAATATCAGTCATTGGGAACCATAGACTTTGCGGGGGAATACCTGAGCTTCACCTACCCAAATGCACAAATATTAGCAATTACTACCAAAAAAGCAAAAAACTTTCTCTTGGTGTTATTCTAGTGATTTCAGTACTATCTTCCGTCGTTGCAAGTCTAGCTCTGGTGTCATTTCTCCTGTTGTATTTTTGTAAGAAGAAAACGTCAGAATCAGAATCAGTAGTGACTGAATCTTTTGACAAGATTTCATATGAAAGGCTTTTCAAAGCAACCCAAGGGTTCTCTTTGGCAAATCTGATTGGTACAGGTAGCTTTGGTTCGGTTTACAGAGGAGTTGTTGATGAAGATGAAGATGGCATTGGCCCCACTGTGGCCATCAAAGTAATAAACCTCCAACAAAGAGGAAGTTCCAAGAGTTTTGTAGCCGAGTGTGAGGCCTTGAGAAATATTCGTCATCGTAACCTCGTGAAGGTCATAACTATTTGCTCAAGTCTCGATTTCCATGGCAATGATTTCAAAGCTTTAATATATGATTTCATGCCAAATGGGAGTCTCGAGAGTTGGTTGCATCCTCATGATCATCAACTAGACTTGTCTCAAAGAATAAGCATTGCCAAAGACGTTGCTTATGCTCTTGAATATCTACATTACCACTGTGGAAACACTGTTGTGCACTGTGATTTGAAGCCGAGCAACATTTTATTGGATGCTGATATGGTTGCTCATGTTGGAGACTTTGGACTGGCGAAAATTCTTTCGCTTGAACAACTTTCCAATCCACACAAGAGTAGTAGCTCAAGCATTATAAGAGGAACTATTGGGTATGCACCTCCAGGTAATGTTTTTTGTAATACTAATCGATTTGTCACTTTTTACTATGTATACAAGTAATATTCACTCTACGTAAGTTGCAGAATATGGAGTTGGAAATGAAGTCTCCACCAGCGGAGACATGTATAGCTATGGAATCTTAATGTTAGAGATGTTGACAGGAAAAAAACCGGTTGATCCAATATTTGAACAAGGGCTAAACCTGCATTCTTATGCTAGGAAAGCTTTGGCTGATGGTTTTGTGCTTCAGATTGTGGATCCGATGCTTCTAAATGATGATGTCATTGTCAACCAAGCGTGTTTGATTTCATTGGTGAAAATCGGAGTGCAATGTTCTTCTGAGTCTCCACAAAATCGATTGCATATTGGGACCGTTATTCATGAGCTGCATGTCCTCGCTAATGCTTAAAACCAGCTACCCTAACTAGTTCAATCTTCACTGCACTGGCGCCACCTAAAACGTTTCGCTAGTGTTAATTATGTCATGTGTGTTATAACTTTAATTTGTTGTCATCGATTGTGTTAAATTTGTGTTATTGTAATGATACTGATAATGGTGCGAATGTAGACACACAGGGTGGTTGGTTTAATTTTCTCTTCAAGGAACAAACACGCCCTACACCAAGCCTTTATTTTGCTGGGAAGTGCATATTAGGAATTTAAAATCTTTGAATAAGTTTAAAAAAAAAAAAACGTTGGTAAACCTCCCAACACTAGCTGCTTTTATCTTTACCAGTTGCTCCCTCCCAAAAAAAATTCAAAACGGGCTTACATTAATAACCAGTTGTGCACATCCATTATCAAACTATACAAACGTCACTCCAAATACCATATAGAATATGCTATATGTTTGACCAGAAATAGTCAAAACATTCCCTATAATTAACCTCTGTAGGTTCTGGATTCCAGCTGCTGATCATGCCTCCACCACTGGTGAACCCCATGAGCTTCCTTCAAATCACGTGCATGACTCAAGTTCACTGTTAAATTTGCAGAGGGAAGAAGGTGAAGCGGATCATGTGATTCCTTCCCAATTGCATCCATGAAAATCCCCCCAATCGAATGCTGTGATGCCAACCGTTCTACCACTCCCACACCCATCTTCTCCATCTTTCTCCGATGTCTAAAATACCCGATATACTCTGAGCAGATATGATCCCCTGGATTCACATACAAACACGGGACCCACGCTGCCAGATCAGCAAACGAATCCTTCCCCAGAATGTTTCTTTGTTGATTGTTGTTTTTAATCTTCACTGCAACAGCAAGTCCGGCTGTCACAAAACTGCTAGCGATTCTGAGCCCGTGTTTCACTTTCTTGTTCTTGATGTTCTCGATTGGAGCCGAAACAAATGGCGGGTTGAAAAGATGTGATTCCAGGAAAATCCCATTTTTTACCATGTTCTTCCCCGCAAGCATGGCCATGGCGGATCCGAGAGAATGACCGGTTAACCAGATGTTTTGATTACCGGAAGCGACTAAGTTTCTCACAGCTTGAATGGCGATTTGGAATCTTGATGACTGATGTAATACGTTTTGGACAAAGTGGAGATCGAGTTGCAGGTCTCGAGAGAATGCATCGCCTTTGGTTACTGTGCCTCTGAAAGCTATGATATGAGATGGGGTTGAGGGTGTTGATGATGGGTTGGGTTTGGATTTGTAGATGACACCAAAGATGGAAGAATCAGCATCGTCTATGAGATGACTGTGTAACTCGAAATGGAAGAAGTTCCACCATGGAGGAGCGAGAGCCTCTGATCCTTGACGGTTTTCCTGGAGGTCACGCTGCATGACGTAAACGCCTTGAACCATGGATGCAGCGACGGACCTTCGGTGATCCACATCGGTCCTGAATCATCAGAGCAACATGTTTACTACTATTTCAAGGATTAAGCAGAAGAAGGTGTTCGATTAAATGTCTTCGGTTAAAGGAAAAAGTGGTACCAGTCAATAGTAGTCAAATGTAAGGGGCCTGAAACCTCAAAATTATCCCTTTCTGGCGCCATCATCAGATCTATGATCTCCTTTGTGGTATGTTCTTGATTAACTCAAAACTTATACTGAAACATCACAAAGAAGAGACAAATAGGCAAGTATTGGACGAAATCGGATACGACAATGTAGAGAGATTTTCAAATGGTCAAAAGACTATAAAGAAACCCAAATTCGCATATTATTATGATTCGACGATACAATACAGAATCATAATTCATACTTTCCAAAAGGATTTAAGAACCTAGGAACCAAACAACCCTTCAAATACGTGAAAACGAGAAATTAAGGTAATGAAGTAGAGTTGAATTCAAGGCCCGTTTCGATTGTAGAGGATATGATATTAGAAGCGAAATAAGAAAATCATGAATGCAAAACAAAGGAATATGGAGTAATTAGGTTATAGATTTAGAAGAAAATGTACCTACGGGAGGAGATCCGAGCATAGCGTCAAACCTTTTTGTTGTGGAATGAGTTTGAATGTTGACGGCATCTATGGAGATCCACCTCCTGTGAAAAATGGAGGAGGAAGGTGCAGTGTTGTTTTCAAAGTAGTGGTAGTTTTGGCGTCTGTCGGTTGTGATGTGTCCTTGTGTATATGTATTATATACCAGTTGTGTTATGTATCTTATATACCGGTTGCAAAGACCATATATGGGTTAATTTAATATATACCCTTAAGGGTATATAATAAGATTGTGTATCCTAATTCTTAAAACTACGTAGTTTTGTTTAATGATTCCATTATTTGCTTAATTTTTTCCTTTTTCTTTTCTGGTTTACATCGATTCCTTCCCATGATTATCAACTTCTTTGAACAGAATACTTCCAGTATCAACGCTTTGAAGAAAGAAAACTAATTTCAAACTTATCTATGATGCTCCAATTCAACAAAATTCAACAAAATGCAATCGGCTTGTGGCTCACCGTGTTCTACTCAATCAATTTTTCCCCTTCTTGGTCACGGTTAAGAATCAAAATCTTTTTGAAAATGAGGTTTCCTAACGAGAATCTGGTTCATTTTTTCTAGTAAGTAGTAATCTACAAAATAATCCTTGCTTGTAGGAATTTAACTTGACCAAATCTGCAAAACAAAAAAAGCTATCGGGTTTGTTTTAGATTTTTTTTTTTTTTTTTTTTTTTTTTTTCACATTAGGTTAGTGAAGGTTTTTTGATATTAGGTTGCTTTTGGAAAATCACGTGCAAGATTTTATTTATTTGCAAATGCAGTAAAGGATACCCACCAGGTGTTCGACAAAATGCCATCTCGTATATTTTAATAGTTTTTTTTCTTCATTTTTGATATGAATCAAGTTATGTATTTTCCTCTCTATTCGAAATTCCCCAACCTCACTCTCTCACCACCTCATCTATTTTAACAGTTATTTTCATTTTGGTACTCTTGTTTCATTGTTTCATAGTCAATTTTGAAAAATAAAAAGGTTATGTTATGTGCAGCTCACAACCTTGGAGACAAGTCCTGTTATCTGCTTTCATCAACAAAAGAGGTCAATAATGCATAGGTCTAATTTCATATGTATTCCAGTTACTTTCATGTTTTATGTTTTTCACATCAATTTGTGTTAGTCATTTTGTAAAATAATTTTATTCCATTTTCCAGTTACTGTTTTACTAGCATGCCTCTTAGAAAAATAAACTTCAATGATCATGGTAAGAAAATATATGTTTGCTGGGTTAATGTGAGAAATAAAAACCTATTTTTGTTGATTTATTTATTATAGAATCTTATTTTTGTTTCTTAAACATCTTCAATAACACGAGTTTCTTTGATTTTAGTAAATCTTTCATGATTTCTGCCATTTGATTGTTGATTTATTTGATTTTAGTAAATCTTTTTCATAAAGTTTGTGAGTTGAACTTCCATATCCTTAAGTTTCTAATGCTTGTTTTTTAGGTTTGTTCTTGGGGATTACATACCATCTTTTGGACAGGGGCAAAATCATCCAACAAGGTGAAAAAAAGATCAAACTTATGTGTAGATTAACCCAAAACTAACCAAAAATTAAAGATTTCAGTTTAACATCTATTAAAACATCATCGAGTTTGCAACAGAAATAACAATTTACATTTATTAGTAGAATTAGCAACCAACTTTTCATTTTATAGCCAAAATATTACGGTACTTATCTTTTTTATAGCCAAATTTTCTGATAAAGTGGCATACACACAAAGATTTGAATGCCTGTACAAATTTGATGACTATATAAAGCTAAGACCTAAACAAATTTCATGTAAAAGCTTGTAAATATATATCAATAATCATTTGCCTATAAACTTGATCTTGTAAGCTGATGCCAACTGTAATAAAATTTGCTCTGGTATCAGAGCTTCCCACTCCTATGGAGGTTCAATAGTTGAAGCTTCATTTAAATTTAACAAAATCTCCCTTTTCACTTCTTGAGGTATTCCTATGACATCCTTCAATTCTCTATAATTGTGTCAAGAAACTGTAAACATGACAAAATAAACAAATAAATATAAATCCAATATGTTTCACTTTCTAAAAATTAATGCAATTGACACGAATTATACAACCACATTTCAACCTGTTCAACAAATATCACCTACGCATAAGTATGACCCTCGTAGTAAATTATATTTCAGCCTTCAAGGTTTATGATCTCCTATCCCGAAGCTGCATCACAGAACACAAATAAAATTTAAAAAAAAAAAAAAAAAAAAAAGTATTTGACAAGATGATAACACATGCAATCAAAGAGTTCACAATAATTGGATCAATTTTTAACACTTACATTGCTTTTGGGACCCTCATTCTCAATCTCGTCTCTTTAAAATACATAAATACCCCTGTAAGGTCTATAAAATGCATACCCAATAAGGCATAAAATCATTTTGGCTAAATAATATGTGTGCTTTTTTAATCAAAATCTGTCATTACTCTGCATCTGGTTTCCCGTGAAAAGAAGCAGGAGCAGGTCACCGTACATGATTGATAGGAAATTAGGAATTGGTCCATTTGAACATAATATTTAAGCAATAATACAGACATTTTGAGTTCACAGGAAGTGTTGAACATCAAAACATACTTTAATATGCGTAATATGTTAGCAATTTTGATATAATTCTTCCTTGTAGCAATTTTATTTCCAATTATAATAGACTATCTATTAAAATTTGATGATAAAAATGATGAATAAATTTCTGATTATAATTAATGATAATTATGATCTATTATACTCTTAATGTGCTATTTCTGCCTGTTGTGTAAATAATCAGTCGCCACTTCACTCGAAATACCCATTTCAGCCATTTTTCATATCACCCTATGTAGGCATTATGTCGAACACCTGGTGGATGGGATGCATATACGACAATTGCAGGTGAAACTGAAACCCCAAAATCTGAATCGAAATCACACGACCTAGAAAACCTAGAAAGTTATCAATCTGATAAACTTAAAAATGGAGAAACTTTAGTAAGATATGAAAAAAAAAAAAAAAAAAAAAAAAAAAAAAAAAAATCTTTGATTGTTACTGAGATTTAGATAACAATCAGAGAAACATAAAAATGAAGAAACTTTGTGAACACAATTAAATTGACGAACCTCGATGTTGAACCTGAGAAATAAAACGAAAAACTTGTTCTACATGGTCGTTCTCTCCCTCGGTGCTAATGAAATTGTTGAATGTTGTTGGCTCATGGTCGGCATGAACATCGAAGATCATAAAACTCAAACCAAAGAACCGTGTGCAATCAGTTTTTTTTGGATGTACGTTATCTAGACTGATTAGCTTTTTCATGAAATTTAGGTAGAGGTCCAGAAGGAAAGTGGCAAAATCCAATTTTGATCGAGGGATGGGGGACGATCGTACGCATGGAGATTAGAGAGGCAAAGTCAAAAAGGTTATGAAGTTGTTTGCTGTTTGAAACGAGTTAGTATAATATTCGGTACCTAATATTATATAAATGGTATATTCACTCCTACACACACATATATATATATATATATATATATTTTGACGAACAAAATAAATGAATCACTAGATGATTCATTTGTAAACAAAAAAAAATTCCAAAAAAACATCTTTATAATTCATTTTTAAGTAAATTAAGAAAAAAATCATTTTTATGATAATTTTAGGGAATAACAACAAAATCATTGTATAAATGAATCATCGAGATGTTTTTTTGAGAATTTTTTCTTGTGAATCATCTTACAAATGAATCATCTAATGATTCATTTTGATTGTTCGCGAAAAAAATATGTAGAAAAAAAACTTCTTACCTTCCTACCAAAAAATTTCTTCTTATTTGATCTTGACTCCTCTATCTATCTATATATATATATATATATATATATATATATATATATATATATATATATATACACACACACACACACACGCATACATACATAAATACTAGTGAAGATAAAAGGGTCGTGCTAAGCACGGCCCCCGAAATGTGATTTCGGTAAGATAATAAAATGAACTTCACTGTTATTCTTGGGAAAAATGAAACTATGTTGCTATTGCTGGTAAAAAGAAAAGTACATTAGTAAAGCTAAATCTCATAAATGGAGTATGTTTTTTAATTGTGGGGTTATCTTTTATTGTAAACTAATCCACTTGCAATAGTTGTTGCTTTGTCATTTTGAATATAATTATAAAGTTTTATTGAGTGCAATTCATGTGAATTGGATAAAGGTTGTTAATACACAAGTCAAGAAGCAGAATGTTTGTTAAGGTACATGTTAAGTTTTTTTTTAAGAATGTTACATCCAACAAAAGAGAAGATTTTGTACATTCATACACCATGTGCAACTTGTTCATGCAAGATATTTAAAAGGTGGGCATGACATACAAGCTTAGAAGACCCAGTCATTTCGCATATACCGTATGTTGTTATCGATCCATGTCTGATGCAATGAATCAAATCCAATCCTTCTGCAGGTTTCACCCCCTAAAACCAACAAAAACACATCACATCAAGAAACACTAAAGGATAATAAAGTGATTAATGATAGCTTTAAAATTAAAAGCCTTTAACTTTTAGCTAACTACAAATGTTGACAAACAACCCTGCTTTTCTTCACCAGTTTGTTCCCATTGCTTGAAATTCACAGGCCACATGTCTAAATAAATCCATGATGGAAAACTTGATCAACCCGAACTCGATATTGCTTTCCCCTTTTGCCCCTACAACAATCCTTTTAGTTTATCAATGCAATCATAAAGACATAGCTCAAGACCAGATGGATGAACAAACACATCAGAAGCAAATTGCATAAAAAAGTTGGATTAAATATGAAACCATGTGTAAAAAAAAAAGGAATTAAGGGCTTCTTTCTTTTTTATTTAGTGGGCTTAATGGAATAAGAACCAAATCTGGATAGAATGACTCAAGGGTTTTAACAAAAAAAAAAAAGATATAATGTATTAAGACACTAACCCTTTGCCTATCTGCATGTTAAAATTGACGAATATTCTTATAATTTGTTTTATTTATGAATGTAACGGTAAATTTACAATTTAGTAACATACACATACAGATTTGAGGTTGCTCAAAAAGACATCAGGATTTTCAACTTCTAGACGTCGCCACCTCTCCAAAAATAAGCTAACTTTGACTACTTCATTTGCAGGGACAAAACAGTCCAAATATACATTTGAAAGATTTGTTACATCTCTAGATGATATACTTGTTCCCAACTTGAAATGATCAATAACTTCTATGATACCGCATGTCCACTTTTCATTTGCATGAATGATTTTAGGGTTATTTTTGGCATTTTCAGCATGCCACCGCAACAATTCTTCCTGTGCATTATTCACCATGACACCATGCACATCTTGAATGGTGAAAAGCTCGACATCATTCCCTGAGTGTCCACATGCAAGGGTATTTTGTGGTAATTTACCATCTCCCTTTAATTTTTATGCAGATAAGCTAAAGCTTGTCCTATTCCAGCATTTTTTTTGAACATCACCCCCCAAACAGTAAATTATTTTGATATCTAACTGACAAAAAAAGAAAAGAAGTTGGTGAATAGTTAAATTTGTCAGAAATTTTTTAAATGTTCACTTCTCACCCCTCGGTTGACCAGTATTTTAGAAAGTGTCTTCATTACTCACAAGGACATGGATAAAGAGAAAGGAATTTGAATGGCGTCAGAAAAGTGTAGTGTAGGGCTACATTGATAATCTCATGACATTGTATAGCATTACACTTACAAATATTTACTAACCAGGACATCACACTTTGAAAATTACATCTAATTATAGCAGCAAATCGTTGTATGGCATTGCTATATAATTGGACAGGTTTCTTAAAGTAAAATGTTTTCATGCATTTGGTTATCAGAAAATGGAATGTAACTCAATAAAAAAAAGGTTGAATAAGCTTGAAATTTTAAATGATAATCATTTTTGGGTTTTTTATTTTAGTATATATGTAATAAGTGTATTTGGGTCTTTTAACAACTAAATCGATTTGGTAAGGTAAACCATCCAATAACAGCCTTTAATCTACCCAGAAAACCAACCTACCACAAATTTGAAGCAACTGAAAATCATCAAAAACTGAAAAATCAAAACTCAAATTGATGAACAAGCACCGACTCCCTTTTGTCTCATCTTCATTATTAGCCTAAAAAATAAAATTAAACCAAGGCTCAGTGAGGAATGATAAAGTTTACATTGGTCTTACTGCAATATAAATTAGTCAATTTTTTATTCTATCAGAAACAATAGCAGATAAAAAAACATTTCAAAATTAATGTTTTCTTAAGATTAATTAAAAGTTGAATTAACCTGCTTCTAGTTACCTCATTTATAAGAATATCTTGTCACCTCGGTTGATTGATTGCTGCAAATCAGAAAAAGATAAATAAATAAATAAAATAAAATTAAATTAAAAAAACGACAGAAACTATAACTTAGATGGTGCATCACAAGGGACAGAAGCAAATAGAGATATCGAATGTTTAGCCCTTCAAACAAAAGAAAATGAAGTAAAATAGGCAGATAAAACAGTAACTCCAACTACCAAATGGATGCTTTTCGTAATTTGGCCTAGAAGGAAATAGTGATAACGAATATTTAGCCCTTTAAAAACAGTAACTCCAATTTCAGATTTGAAATGAGATGGAATTGACATATCTACAACTGTTAAACCTTATCATCTTCTTGTTGGTCTAGATATGTTAGATAATATGCAGTAGAGAATGATCAATTTGAACAAACTACAAAGCAAAAGAAAATGAAGTAAAATAGGGCTAGGCTAATAAAACACACATAACTTTCAAACTTTAAAAAAGGAACATTGTACATACCTTCTTAATGATGCATTTTCATACATATCGCGTCTCCCAAAAAAAGCTAATGTAATTAAACATATCAATAACTGAGACACCAAGTTGTATGGTAACAATTTCTTTATGATCAACAAGAGAAGTCAGAGATCTACGAATCTTGGTTAGTATCAAAATATAAAAATGTCAATTTATTAAAAGACAAGAGCTCAGATTATACTCGCATCAGAATGTAAGCGATGAAAATAAGAGTTTTCCTCTTTCTTGACATTTTTAATAACCAAAACACCAGGTGAATGGAAATTAAAAAAAAAAAAAAAGGATATTGATATGTGTCTAGCCTAGCCAACAGTTCCTTAAACCTAAACATGAACACAGAAGAGAACAAACGTAACAGTTGACAGTTCTACAAAATTGGATAAAGTTGCAACTATTAGGATCGGGGAGAGTACGCTAAGCGTACATAAGGTACGTTGAGCGTACTAGGCGTGTCCTAGTACACTCGGCGTACACTTGTGTACGCTAAGCATACTCACGTCAGATGGAAACCCTAATATTTAGGGTTTGGGTGCTATATAAACATCCTTATAAGCTCAAAACCATCCATCGTCTCAGCCTCCATAACTTTGAGTCCTTTCCCCTAAACCCTAACCTCTTTCTTGAGTCTGTGAGCTAAAAGGGTGTGATTTAAGTAGTTGGAGAAGAAGGTGTTGCATCAAGAAGTTGGAGAAGGAAGATAATCTTGTAGATCTGAGGTTTCTTTGTGATCTAGAGGCTCCAGGAGGTAAAAAGCTCCAACCTTTAAGCTTGTATGATGTAGATCTTGCATGCTAGTTTTATGAAACCATTTCTTGTCCCAAAAAGTCCCAAGTTGGTGCATATTATGTTTTGAACGAGATAAACTGTCCTTTCAGGCCCTAGAAAGGGTTCTAAGTGATAAAAATGATGTCCCAATGGCAAAAGAAGAGACAAATTGGACAAAATCGGATACGACAATGTAGAGAGATTTTCAAATAGTCAAAAGACTATAAAGAACCCCAAATTCGCATATTATTATGATTCTACGATGCAATACAGAATCATTATGATTCTTCATACTTTCCAGAACGAAAAAAGAACCTAGGAACCAATCTAACCCTTCAAATATGTGAGAACGAGAAATTAAGGTAATGAAGTAGAGTTGAATTCAAGGCCCTTGTCGACTGTAGAGGATATGAATATTACAAGGAAACAAGAAAAACATGAACGCATCATCAGAACCAAAGGAATATGAAGTAATTAGGTTGGAATTTTACAAGGAAAACTGAAGCGGAAGAAAATGTACGTACCTACGGGAGGAGATCTGGACATAGCATCAAACCTTTTTGTTGGAAGGAGCGATGAAATGGAATGCGTTTGAATGTTGACGGCATCTATGGAGATCTATCTCCGGTGAAAAATGGAAGAGGGAGGTGAAGTGTTGTTTTCAAAGTAGTGGCGGTGTTGGCATCTGTCGGTGGTGATGTGAGTCCTGGTGTAGTGGTGTTGTGCACTGATGTATATATATAATAATATAATATAGTATAGTTTAATAGTTTTTTTTATATATAGTTTTATATATAATTAGATGTACTTGGATGATGTTCATTAAAACTTTTGAAAAGATTTTATACACTGAAATAAGCTATATCTTGATGAAACTGTTTACATTGTTAGTTTTGATCATAGATGATGTTTCTTTTGTTTTGATTAGAAGCTATGATGTTTCTTGTGTTCGATTGATAAAGGAATGGTGGTGGATTGATCTTCAATCTTAACATCAACATCCTTAAAGGGGATTGACGAAGACAAAATTCATATTAGGGTTCTAGGCTATTCTTATATTTTATGTTAATCAAAATTTCGATAAAAATTATAAAACAAATAAATATTTGAAAAAAATCAAATGTATTAAAAAAAATGTAAAATAGACGTTTTAGATGTATAAGGAACCAACCCAGAAAAAATTAAACTAGGAAGACTGTCTATAACAGATTGCAAAGTTGGAATAATGTTATGACTTTTAGTAAATCACACGGCCATTTTGTATACTTAGTATATTATAGGTTAATGCTATCAATATTTTGCCTGTATTTTATATAATATTACAATGAACTTTTTTTCAAAAATAAATATTTACCATAATACTAAAAGATTATGAAATTATAATCAATAATGCATTTCTAGTTACTTAGAAAACAAAATTTCTAATTACAAATGAATTGTAAACTTAAAGACTTTTCCTCAAATAACGAGGAGTTATGATGTAATTTTTCACTCCATTTCAATATATAGAATGAACATTCACTTGTACAATTCCAAACCCTTATATTCTTATCGTGCTGCAAGGGAAACCAGCATTCCAGTCTATACAACAACAGAAGTCAAAAGCTTAAACATGTGTTAAAAAAAACTAATTTGATGTCTTCCATCAACTCATTCCAATCTTTAGTTTTTTGATTCCATTAGTTTCTGAAGGATTACCTGCACAATTCATTCATAAGCCAAACTCTAGTTTAGTTACCATGGCATCTCATCTTCTAATTCAAACAACAAATCCCACATATAACTGTTTGGTTGGTGTTGGTCATATCCATCTCATCTTATATGTATAAAAGAACACAGCCCATAATCACATGAAATTGGTAAATAGCTTACTGGTAACAAGCGATTTGATTTCAATCCTTGATGAAGTTCAAAGGATGAAATTAAAAGCTTCACTGCACGAAACTCGATAGACTGATTGTGTCCTCTATCTGCAAACTCGATTAACTGTCGATCAACAAGGTGCTCGAAAGCCTGCACATTTTTTCATTCCATAAATACCTTTCAAAAACTAATATTATTATTATAAGAAAAATAAGATGAAACTCACCCTTAAGCATACAATACGCGAATGGTAATCATGTGTCTGTAACTGGTAGGAATCATGTACACTTTTGTACTCTGCCATGAGGACAAGGAGGATTTATCATGTAAGAAATTTGCAAAAACAAACTGCAGGCTGCTCACCATTCATTACAGAATTGAAGTTATACAGCTCCTGTCCTTTGGTTTCCAACCTCCTCATGCAAACCATTATATAAAATTCCAGAATTGAGCAATCTGCAACCAAAAAAACAAATTTCTTAAATCTACAGATGAAAAAAGAAAGAAAACAGATATGAAATCATACCTTTTAAGCAATCCAACTTTGGCTGTCGTTGGATGCTTGAAAGTGCAGATTTGAAGTTGTCAAGCGTCATCAAACCAGATTTCAAATCCATCAAACTTACAGCTGAAAACCTAAAGTTAAAGAAAAAAAAAAAAAAAACAGAGATAATTTCACAAGTTTTCGAAGAAAATCATATAGCAATATGTAGAGCTTCAGAACAATACACTTACAGAAATCTGATGAAATTACTGAAGGTGGAATCGGAATCTGATAATGTATCAATGACTTCCATGAATCTTTTATCTGCTAATATGTTCTGTAACACACACGTCAAGGAATTGTGAAAATCTCATTGTTCTTTTAAGTTTTGTGTCACATGAAAAGAGAATGAATAGTATATAAAAGGATACTGAAATTTTTGAATTGAATTCTGTCGCATAGTCATGAGGAAGGCATGAATCTGTTGGCAATAGTAGAATGTGTTTGAGCAATCTGCATGTTGAACTCAAAATCATCAAAGCAAAGACTTTTTTGTAACTTTATCAAACTCCCAACCTAATAAATGCTAATGATTGAATGATAAAGCAACAAGTGTAATGATCACCTCTGTAAATCATCCTTTGGGGGAGGATGAAACAGTAGTTTCCGATGTGAGAATCGAGATCTTACTCTTTTTTCCAATAACTGATCAGCATCCTGTAAAGTACGGATATCCGCACACAAAGTGTTTGATGAAATGTCTCAATCAACTTGTCATATTTACTATTTCAAAAACTAACTTTAAACTTTTCAAAATCTTATTCTTAATGATAAAAAAATAGTTTTAATGGAGTAAAATCTGTAACATACCAATCTGCAACTCACACCAATGACAACAGCTTGAGAAGTTACAGACTGCATTGCATCTAACAAGCTATAGAGTAATCTTTGCTTACCCTGCAATCAATCAGACCCACACGCATAAATAAGTCTAAAGTTTTTGGGAACTAGTAAAATATAAGACAAAAGGAGTAGTTGAAAAACAAGAAATATCACACTTTGAGGATGAAAGATAACAATCCATATATTACATACAATCAGCATACCTGAGCAAATAGGTCAAACTCATCCAATATGAAGATCACTGTCTTGTGAGCTAATCCACATTCTCTGGTAATGGAAATCATAATCAAATAGAGAACAGTAGAACACTTTGCTACCAACTGAAACTTACAAGTTAACAAAACTACTCCCTCCATCCCATGAAAATCTCACTATGCACATATGATATGCATGGATATAAATCATGAGTCTTAAATGCCCTCTGATGATGACAAAATAAGGTTTACAATATACATAGGACAGGGGGAATACACATTTAAAGAAATTACTCATATGGGGAATGTGAAAATAGATAGACACTGACCTCAACATGGCAATCATGAACTGAGAATTATCATCAAATGACGCCTGCAATACAATCACAAGGTGAACAACTCCTACTTAATTCTGTTTAGAATACGTATCATTAACCAGGGGTAGGGGTTGTACCATTTTGGAAAACATCAGTTCATGCTCAATACATAATTGTCTAGCAATTTCCTGAAATGGACATGAATTAAACTCAAATTAAGAAAAAAATCTGAGAAAAAGACGTGATAAAATGACAAATGGACCACTTGTGTTGATGTAAATACATTGAAGACATGAGCCATAACAAATGGAGTATTATACACTACGTAAACACCTATGTAGAGTGAAGAGTTTCTGAATCATGATCCTATGAATATCTGTTGTGGATTACTATATCCCATGATCATAAACAATTTGATAAAATATTGAAGCTTGGCATATATATGAACAACTACATGGAAAAGATCATATCAAAACAAGTCATCAACTTCTTTTGTTGAGTTTACTTCTGCTTGAATGAAGATTGTGTGAGGATTAAAACTTATGGTGTTCCTTTAGAGATGTTGTGTGTAGAACAGATAGACAACATACAGAAAGAGTGAGGGGAGGCCATTAAGTCGGCTATCATGTTATTAAAGTTCTTGTTTATCCATCTCATCCTAAATTATATATCACAAATAAAAAGCATTTTTGGGAAGTCATAAAGGCTACAAGGGCAGAATATAACTTTCAAAGGTAAAAGGAAAATGAATTTGGAAATTTCACCTTTAGAGCACAATTATCATCACAGTGCAAAAGCCCATTTAGTTTAATCTACAACAATCACACAACAAGCTAATTAGACTTTAATCATTCTGCCTGAAATCAGTTAGACCTAAAACAACAGGTATAGAGCGTATCAGAACTAATAGACGAAAACAAAATATTTTTGAATGGATAAAAACATATATATACCACTGAGATCATTTCAGGATATTCTTTCAGCAAATCCTCTAGAACAAGATCCAACACCTAATTACATAATCAATAAAAAATCACAGTAAATACTACAAAAAAAATCCAAGTAATTACACAGAAACTGGGTATTATACCGCAACTTTGCCGCATCCTCGAGGACCCAGAAGCAGAATCGAATTGTTACAGGCCTCAGTTACCGAACTTGATACGATAAACTTCAACTTGCTGAAATTTGTTCAGAGATTAAATACGTCACAAATGGAGAAGATGTATAGAGAGATTATAGTATTCACGTGTATATAATTGGAATATATATATATATATATATATATATATATATATATATAGAGAGAGAGAGAGAGAGAGAGAACATTCGAATAACCATCAACCGAACCTGTAGTTGCTATCGGAAGAATGGGAGAAGAGGGAGAAGATGAAATTGGGATCACATAGTCTTCTACGAAGAAGGACTAGCGCTTCCTCTGCTGTTCCCCGACCCATTGGGCTCATCCGTACACTTTTCTCTCCGGTGGACTTCTACTAAGAATCCGGTGTGAGAATATATATAAAGGGCGGTGACAGAGGAAAATGGCGGGAAAGAGTTTGCCTGTGTAAGTTGTAAGGCCGGGTTATAATGTAGTTGTGGGCTTGATAACCTGTTGGGCCCATCTTATTAGATATTTACAGAATCCAAACTGAAACGACTATTCTATTTCCAAACAAGTTGACAGGCCGGTAAAAACTTGTAAAAGACATTCAGAGATGCAGAGATTAAACAGTTACCTGAGATTTTGTTACGGACGTATAGGCTTGAAGGAATGGAGTTATCGAGTAGAGATTATGGAATTAAGGAGTAACGGGGGTGATTGGAAGAACGAGGGATTTACAATGTATGTCGCCGCAGCAATGATGGTCGATGGATGAACACTGAACAGAAGAGAAAACTGAAGCCGAATTCGAAGAGTCAAAGACGATATTGGAGAGTGGAGACGGTCAGCGAGACAGGCTTGATGGCGGAGGCGCCGAGCAATAGGGGCGGCGGTCCGGCGGAGGGAGGAAAGAGACAGAGAAAGCGGTTTCCGGTTTTTTCCTTGGGCCGGGACCCAAAGATTTAACAGCAATTTTTTTTCAGTAAAATCCATAAATAAGGCCCATTTCAATGGACTGTATAAAGTATAAACTATAAAGTATAAACTTGTATTTTCGTTGAAAATTAATTTTATTAAATATATTTTAGATTATAAAATCAATGCTCTATTAGTCACATAATTATTTGCGGAAACTTATCTTAGAAAACCAGAAAAATATTCTTTTGTTTTTGTTTTCCTAAGAACGACAGAGAACATACAAGAAAACATGTTGTGGAGGAATACACATTATCATTAATGCCTTTTTGTATCATATCCAATACAACTTCACAATTAATATTGCAAATGGAAAACCATATTACATCGCACTTTGCGCTTTGCAACTGGTGAAAATTAATCCACTGCTAAACTGTGTACTTAACGAATATATGAATCCAAAAAACTCAGAGACACAAATAACCAAGTTTTCATGGTTTTTTCTCCTCATCACCATGAAACACTACTAATCTCCATTTGTGCACTTTTATATAACTCTAATCTCTTTGCTAGTGACGAACGCCTCTCCATGATCGCTGGATCTTCATCCAATAACTTTGATAACTGAATTGGCTGCATAATTATAAACCATTCATATTAATATTTAATACACATACCCATTGGTGTTGAAATTTGAAAACACAGTCACGGATGACTTACAAAGTAACTAAAGAAGTTGTTTTTATAAATATGTTATTGTTACTAAAAAAACATAACCAAATGACTAGTAACTTACGGTTTTTCGACCTAACTCTGCAAAAAAATGGTCAAGAAGACTGCGTTTGGCTTCACGCACTTGACAATGAACCACCGACTTTGGAACCGAGTTCACCAGGCCTGCAAGAACCATATTCACATACTGCAACACTGTTGCTCCTGTTTTCGATACATAATATGATTTAGTTGAACATTTGTTGTAAAATATAGGGTTAATTATAGAAATGTACCTTTCTCTTGGTAAGACATTATATTTCAAAATATCTACCCAATTAAAAGAGTGAAAACTGTTTTGTATTTGGATGACATTGCCATAAATTCGGTAGATTGTTCAGAGTACAATGTTGTGTAATCGAAACAAATGAAAGTAAAGCAGTTAAAAGTACGTTGCTATTTCTTGAATTTGACCCTTATCGAGACCTACAAAATGAAAATGATAAAACAAGTAGCTTACCAATTCGTCTAAGGTACGAATCATTGTATCTATCAAAAATGGACTGTGTCGGGTTTCCACCCTTCTCGAATTCTTGCGGAAGGTTCCGGAAGAAATCAGCCGTCAAGTAACAACATTCCATATCAACCAACATAAGTGTCGATTTCCTACTTTCTTTCTTCATTCTTGAAAGTGACTCATTCGCAGCCCCCTCCACTTCCTTTCTCAAACTTGGATACTGCTTCAACTCCTAAACAGCCAATCAAATTATTTATTTATTTAAAAAAAAAAAACTTTTTCAAGAAACCAAACATATGATAAAACCCATTAACCCACCATGGTCTCGCTGATGGCCTTGCGAACCAGCTCCTTGAGTATGATATCAACCTAAAATGTTGAAAAGTTAGTTTTTTTTTTTTTTTTTTTTTTTTTCAAGAAGTAAGAATGCTATTAGTATTTTCTTTTGAAAAAGAAATACCGCGTTGACTGAGGCCTCAGCAGGGCCTTTGATGGTGGTTAATGAAGACTCAATAATGTGACGGTATCCTTGCTCAGGGGCTATGAGATGTGGTTGATATCCATCAGCTTCTGTGATCAGTTTCTTGATGTTTTCCATTGACAATTGTTGCTCAAACTGCAACTTCTTAAGAGCAGCAGGAAGCTGCCTTTCAAAAACATGGTATATTTTATCTCCCCCGGATCGCCTGCACAACAACAAATAACAGCATTCTACTTTCAACTTTTTTTCTAATTAAGGTAATGTACTTTCATTGTTATTATTCTTATTATTTTTTTGCATTCCACCCATTTAACTAAAGGCAGTGGTTGAGGATCGCATCCTTACATTCCATTCAGATGCTCTTTGTATATTTGATCAAAATCCCGACAAATATCCATTATCAGAAGCAACTTCCCCTGCAATATTTTTAACCATGCATATATAAACATCAAGATCTATTAGGTGCACCTTCATACATACACACACAAGACTTACACCAGCATCAGTAGAAATAGGCTTTCCAAGATGACTAAGTTCAGCTTCAAGATCAGCAACCGTTTTGCTGATTAGAGACTGTATGCCTGGGATTCTTGATTTGATCACGCCT